GCTGAACCACATCCTGTCTGCCATCTGAATTGCACCCGATGAAGCCACAAATTTGGCATCTCCTATTGGACCATTTTCTTTTTTAAAAGCTATTAAAAATCTATGCCAAGAAAATGTTCCTGAGACTCATGGTAATAATGCCATCTGAGATATGTTTAAGTGGGTAATGCTATGCAATTAGTTGTTAACACCTTTTCATAAACACACGGAGTAAACACTGCCCGTGGTTTTTCAGCTCCCAGTTACCACGTGGTCTTCTGGTCTCCGGAGATGCGCGCTGGCAAGGAGCACAGTGCCCGTGGCGAGACGCAGCAGAACACCTGCACTCGCGCCTTGCGGGGTGGAGCCTCCTCGGGGGTTGGTGTGATCCGTCAACCTGTAGCACACTGAGGTGGAGGGGAATAAAATGGTCTTCGGTGGATTTTTTTTCTTCTTCTCTGTTTAGGTATAAAAAGCACGCAAGATAACCCATGTAGAAAAATTACATTCGAGGACTGCAGATTTCTCACTTAGCCTTATCATGGAGAGGCAAAACATCAGCATTTCCTAGATGAGAAATTAGGTCTACGCGGAGAGATATCAAGCTTAAATAAAATCACCTGAGAACCACAGCGTGCATCTCCGCCACCTCAGCACCAGCTAAACAGGGCGCCCTGTCTGGGCTTGCTGTGTTGGGAGCGGGCGGTAATTACACGCAGCCAGGTGCAGCAGGAGCGGGGGGACGGGTTACAGCCGAAGCTGTGCAAGGTCACCGGAGCTTCCCGGGCAGGTAGGTCCTCACTTCCTGTTTATTCTTTGGATCCCAGGTGAAGTCTTTAACTAAAGTGATAATAAGACAGGGCGTGTTGAAACATGTGCCACGTTGCACATGTATTGGCTCACTGGATTGTATACATTATCCTGTGTGGTAGGTAGTATTCTTTACTTTATTTGACAGATGATGAATCTGAGGCATGGAGCTATTTCCCCGTGTTCACAGAGCTCTTAAGGGGCTGAGCTGGGACATACACCAAGGCAGTCTAGACTTCATTTCCTGAAACATTAAGCCAAATATTTGCCCCTTGTGCATCATATTTATTTATTCTCTCCTTTCTTCCTGTCTCCCCCTCTTTCTTACCTCCCTCTCTCTCTCCAGGTTTCCTCTCTCTCTCTCTGCCCCCCTCCCCTTGACAGGTCTTTCCTACTATTATGGCCTCATTGCCTCCCACCTGTGCCTGAGCACCTGCCCCCCCTCCCCCCCTTCTCCCTTCCTCCATCTCTGTCCCTGGAAGTGGACAATGGAGGGGCCCACCTGGGTGCACCTGCTGTCCCAGGACGAGGAGTTCGGTCTTCCCCAAACCAACTTTTACCTGTACAGCAAGAACAGTGGCCTTTGCCTTCAGATCCCTACTTCCCACGAGCCCCGTGGAGTCCCCATCCCATCCCCCTTTCTTTCACACAGGCGCCCAGTTCTCTCTTCGCCGTATCAAATTAGTTTTCCCCCCAATTTTTAAAAATATATTTTTATTGATTTGAGAGAGAGAGAGAGAGAGAGAAAGAGAGAGGAACATCGATGTGAGAAGAACATTGATCGGCTGCCTGCTGCAGGTACGCCAACTGGGGATCGAGCCCACAACCGAGGCATGCGTGCGGACCGGAAATCAAACCTGCGACCTTTCAGTGCACAGGTCACATTCAGCCAACCGAGACACACCAGCCAGGGCTTCCCTGTTTAATTGATTTTCTTGAAAAGGATGAGATATCTTCAACTCATATAGTGAATTTGATCTCTTTGCTTATGTTAAAGTGCTCCCCTTTTATGGACATTTGCTTCTCCTCTCTCTTTTTAACTCTGTGTTTGAATCTGTTAAGTTAGCCTACCTAACTTATTCTGCCAAAGGCACCTATTTTCCCAAGGTACATTTGTTAGGCCTCTTTCAATTGGAAGTGACAGAATTCCAATTCAAATGAGTTTAATAAATTAAAAGTGTATGGCCTCAAGTAAAAATGAGAGGGGTTCCTTAGGCATGCTGGATGTCTGTGGTCAAATAATAGCATCAGAAACCTCTCTCCTTCTCTTTGCTTCTCATATCTGTTTTCCTCATGTCGATCCTAGGCTGTTTTCTTTACATGCCTCATGCCTACGAGAACCCTTGCAGCTTACGGGTAATCTCCAAACCTTATTACCCTTGGAACTACGTATCTCAGAGAATAGGGTATGATCTTCACTTTTCCATGTTCTGATCAATCCTCAAGAAGACACTGTTTGACCTGGCTTGAAAAATATCCCTAAATGGTACCAACATCTCTATTTAGAGGCAAAGGATAATTATATCAATCAGAAATTGACTGGCTTTGGTCTCAGCCTGTTATAGGTTAAATTATGCTCCTCCAAATTTTATTTATTAAAATTTTAACCCCTAGTACCTCAGAATGTGACTGTATATCTTAAGATAGGTTCTTTAAGGAGGTAATTAAGTTAAATTAGCTAATCAGAGTGGCACTAATACAATATGACTGATGTCCTTATAAGAGCAGGAAATGTAGACACAGGCATACACAGAAGGGACACGTGAAGACACAGGGAGCAGAGAATTATCTGCAACCAACGGAAGGAGGCCTCAGAGGAAACTATCACTGCCAACACTTTGATCTCGAACGTTTAGCCGTTAGAACTGTGAGAGAATAAATTTCTATTGCTTAAACCACCCTGTCTTTGGTCCTTTGTCATGACAGCCCCAGCAAACTGACACATATTCCCACTCCTGCAGCATGATGAGATCGGTGTGGCCCTTTGATAGGCCACCCAACCACATGCTCCAGATAGGAGGCAGGAAGTCTTTGGGAAGAAAGGGGAGGTTTCATGACTTGAAGAAGGAGGAAGTGATGCTGGACACACTGAAATTGCTGATGTCCCCCCAGATGAGGAGTAACCAGTCTGCCTTGGTCAAAGGTCATGATTTCACAGAACCATTCTAAGAAGGGAATTTATTATTTATGATAGATTTCCCATCAGAATTGTTCAAAACATTCTGAACCTCAGCTCCAACCATCACAAGTTTGGAAAGGTGGGGGTGGCAGCAGAGCACAGTGTTTACGAGGCTCTTGGGTCAGTCAGGTCTGGATTTGGACCCCAAATCTGTCCATTTACTACTGAGATTACCTTGGGAAGCTATTGCAGTCTATGTTTCCTCATTTATAGAATGGGGGTAATGAAAGTACTGTTCTCCTACCGTTATTTTGAGGATTCTTTAAGTGAATTCATGTAAAATTCTTAACACATTGATACAGTAATAGAAATAGCACATACTGCCTACTGTTGTTCTTTAAAAAACTTTTTTGTCTTTATTGATTTTAGAGAGAAAGGAAGGATGAGGGAGAGAGAGAGAGAAACACTGATGAGCGAGAACATCTACTTGCCGCCTCCTGCATGCCCCCCGCTGGGGATTGGGCCCGCTACCTGGGCGTGTGTCCTGACGAAGAATCACTGGTGACCTCCTGGTGCCGGGGTCAACGCTCAGTCACTGAGCCACACCGGCAGGGCTTATTGTTCTTATTCTACCCACTATTACTATAATTCCTGTTATGCGTAGATTGTCCAACACATTCAAATAATCTATTGCATGTAAGTTATTCAGAGCTTTGAATTTTTGCTTAACTGTGATCTTTAGACCTTATCATTGATGTCTAAATACAGATGAAAGGTATAAAATATTTAAAATATGTCCTAAAGCATATTTCAAGAAGAGACTAGAAATTGGACTTGCCACATTCCGTACATCTTAGTGCTGAACATGTTGAATTCGAGATGCCTGTTGATAACAAAGTGAAGGCACCCAGTTTGCAGCCAGAGCTCTGACACTGAACCTAAGGACAGAGGTCAAGACACTAGATATTAACCAAAGAATCATATGTTTATGTCACAGACTGCAAACTAGCAAATGAGAGGAATGGATGTTCTTTATCCTCCTCAATGGATTTTGGAAAACAAATGGGCTACCATTTAATTAGTATCATACATAAAAAATGAGTTTTTCTTAACCAGTCAGGTGATCTGGACTTAGTGCTTAGCATTTTCATATGGCAAATATGAAAGGAAACTGAGGAGTAGCTGCTCCTTTGGGCCATAAATCCAACCCTTCACTTAGAATATGTATGTGCCAGTATTTCCCATTCATTTAGGCCGCTTCCCTGCTCTTTGGAGGCAAATGAGTTGAGACCTCGATGAAGCAAATTGTTAAGGACAGAGATGTAGGTGAGGTTGCTTTCTGGAAAAAAAGGACAAAAAGGGGACCAATTCCAATTATGAAAGTGGGAAGAAGAGTCATTCAAGGAGAATGAGGATTATTTAGTAAGAATACCCGAAGAGAGCATTTCATCCCACCCAAAATGGCAGAAAGTGTTCATTGGAGGGGGTGGCCAAATGATGTCATGTTCCCCCAAACCCCTGGTAGGCTGTTGTTTTGTTAATTAGAAAATCATTCATGGCATACAGTAACAAAAGTAGCTTCATTCTTGTGATTAGAAAGAAATCTGTAGTGGAGCGATGAAATAAGAAAGTGCTTCCTTTTTCCTTTTTCTTTTTTTAAATCTTTATTTAATGGAGTGAGAGCTACATGAGGTTTTCTGGGATGGTTTCTTTTTTTTTTTTGTAATTTTTTTTCTTTATTGATATTAGAGAGAGAGAGAGGAAGTTAGAGGGAGAGAGAGAGATAGAAACATCAATGAGAGAGAACATGGATTGGCCACCTCTTGCACGCCCCTCATTGGGGATCGAGCCCACAACCTGAGCATGTGCCATGACTGGGAATCGAACTGGTGACTTTTTGGTGCATGGGTCGACGCTCAACCACTGAGCCACATTGGCCAGGCGGTTGCATTTTTTTTTATACACTAGACAAGTATTTAATGGCCAACTATAGTTCAAGTAAGAGATGCTGCAAATAGAGCAAATAGACAGAAACAGCTGATGTAGCCCGATTCTACTCAGCTGAGACTGAGTATTTTTTTAAATTATTTTTTAAAATATGAAACACTTTATAAATTTGCATGTCATCTTTGCACAGGGCCCATGCTAATCTTGTATGTGTCATTCCAACTTTAGTATATGTGCTCTTGAAGCGAGCAGAACAAAATTTTAATCACCCTTGTATATGTGAATTTTAAGACTTGCTAGTCTGGACATAAATGTCCCAAACTTCCTGGAGCTCAGAAAGTTTAAAGTTAATTTTATTAATTGATTCTACCCATCCTCTAACATATATCTATTCCTATATTCTCTCTCCTCATTACCCAGTCTCCAAATGAGAAGTGTGGAGGTCGTTTTATATTTCTTCTTTTACCCATCAGTCTATTCCTTGATCTTCTTGTCACCTCCCATCCGGACACAAAGCCCTAATGATCCTTCTCTTAAGTAGGTCTGGAGTCTATCTCGTTTCTTACTCAAGTTTCTCTTTTTTATGACCCCCCCCCCCCCCCCGCACACACACACACTGAACTGGAAACTCTTCCAGGGTGGGGCTTGTGCTTTATGTTTTCCCCAATTTCATCTCCTAAAGGCATATAAAACATATTCAGTACGTTTTGTGGCAATACGGTGAATGATCTGGTCCCTGGTTTCCCAGTTGCACACGCTACTATCCCTACATCCTGCGCTCCGGTCACATTGTCCAACCTGCTCTTCCACCGGCACCCTGGGCGCTCCCATGCTTCCCTGTGTCCACACACTGTTCTCCCTGGAATGCTCTTTACCAGGCACTGCCCATCGGGAAAGTGGACGATGACTTAGTAGAAGTAATTCCCTTATACAATTTTTCTTTATTTCCCTACTAGTGTGCAGAACTTGCTGCAGAATACCAAATTTCTTTTCCTTTCGGGAACACAACAAAACATGTCTCAGCCTCGCTTGTCTGATGTGGCCATTCAGTGCGCGTGGAAACTATACATGTACTCTTATGCGTGGCCATGAATAACTCCAAGTTGTCATTTTCATACCATTTTCCACTTCAGGTGTCTGATTGGAGGAGCGATGTGCTGCAGTCACGTGCTGCCCAACCTGGGGACTGGGTTCTGCGAAAGGTGTCACAGGGTGAATTCGTTGTTGTGTGACATCACAGGGTGCCCTTACCCAACCCTAGATGGTGTAGCCTACCACTGCAATTGCAGAAGCTAGACTTGTGTTCAGCTGGCCGTGCAATCGGTTTGTTCCCACCAGCATCACCACAGCCCCCGAGTGGCTGCAGCGTAAGCACTGCCGGCTGGCTTTCCTTTTGCAGTGCAGGTTCCTGACTTGAGCGTGGATTGCTGGCATCCATTTCCCAGAGGCGGCTCAGGAGCGCTACCACCGGTAAATGGGTTTGTTGCCCGCCACAGGCCTAGACAAAGAGCCAGGCTGCCTCCCCCCATGGATGCTCCTTTTATTTTTTAGAGATCTTCGTTGATTTAGATACAATTTGACTGCTTGTTTTTTTCTTCCTGTGCTTAAAATCCCCACTCTTTTGTTTTAAATTCATCAATTAAGAGTGAGCTCCTGAAAGCCTATGTCCCTACTCTCAACCTCAATAAAAGCAAAACCTCGGGCCCACACACATGCGCATTCTTGACAGGACCCTTCTCTCTTTCCCTCCATCCATCTCTCTCTCCCTCCATCCATCCCCCCCCCCCCCCCCACGTCTCTCCATCTCTCTTGCTCTCTCTTCCCACAAGACTTAGTTATGTGCCCTTGGCTGGGCCTTGTATTCTCCGGGGCCTCTAAGAAATTCTTTTTTTCCCTCTTCAAAGCTTCCTAATGGTTATCGTGCGGAAGGGCATCTTGCAATCACAGTAAGGACCACCCCTTTCAGTCCAATAGGAACGTTGGTTGAGAAAGGGGTGGTGTCTGGGGAATGCACCTCCAGGCATTTCTAGACCAAGAGGGTCCAAAACAGTGAGGTGTGGCAACATGCCATGATGGCAGCTGTGGCATCACTGGGCAGCAGGGAATTTTCAGCTCCATCATAATCTTATGGGACCACACTGTACATGTGGATTGTTGTTGACTGAAGGTTGTCACTCAGCACGTGACTATATTGGAAAAGGGAACCAGGTCCCCAGTCATTGCTTAGAGGGGACTGCCCCACCGTCAGCTCCCTCATGGGGCCATTTAAGAGTGAGACATAAACCTTCACGGTGTTAAATCCAGACTCAGATTTTGGATTTTATCCATTATGGCCACTAGTGTCATCTTAACTGACACAACTCTCATTGCATCCTGTAGCCTCATTATGACTCCTAGTAGTTTGTAATGATTGACAGATATGTCTATCACTCCATCGGAGCATGCCTCTTCTGTGTTCCCAGGATCTGGCACAAAATGGGTGTTGTTTTACAGACACAGATTCTACATTTTATAGGAGAGCCACGATGTACTATCTTGGTTTTTTCTCTAATTATTTTTTGAGGAGGATAGTTCACGAAAAAAGAGTCTTTATAATTAGAAGTAATGAGAGTTGTTTTGTCCACGAAGCTCTCTCACTGGAAAACATAAGAGATGGAAGCAGTCGTATTTTTACCCAGCTGTTGCAAGCAGTCCCTCTATTGAGGGTCACGAGTGATATTGGACATATTTTCAAATTCAAATGTAGTTTTTAAACATGTAATTTTTTATTTGTATTTTCGTCAGTGGCAAATGCAGTGGTAGTTTGTGCGAATTAATGCTCACTGTGTGAGTGTTTTAGTGCTATTGACTAATAACAGTATGCGATTTGAAAGGTAATTCTGTCATGGCAAGCATCCCGGGGAAAAAATGAATGGCCTGACCATTATAAAATGTGCAGTCATTGTTAGAAATCAGACATTTATTTAGTAATAAATACAGTAGTCACTGGGCCTTTAAAAGTGAAGTTTTGAATAGGTGGTAAAAAGAGGTAGTTGCACACAGTTCTTTCATTACCTGTCTCTTTCCCCCCCCCAAATGATGAAGCCTGGACTAGAAGGAGAGTGGGCTGGGAAGGGAGCCCAAGGGTACTGGTGCTCAGCTGGGACTGGAGAATGGCAATCCCTTCAAATCTATCTCAAGCTTCTGTTAGTGTAAAACACTTCACACCCTGCTTTGTTACGAGAAGAACCAAGATCCAACTAGGACTACGTCCTTTAATCCTTATCTGTTACTAAACGAGGACAAAATAGAGTAAGTAACTAGTAGCTGTTACCTCAAAGGCACTGAGAGGGGATTAAAAGGGAATGGTGATGTCTGTCATCTAGGAAATTATATAAGAGGTGGGACACAGACTGGTATAGAAAAGATAGACCTTTAACTGTAGTCATCTTTCACAATGCATTGCAATCACCTGGGAAACGCTAAAAAAAAAATACTGATGTCCACCTCCTCCAAAATTCTGATGTAACTGGTCTAGGTACAGGGATTTAAGTGGTCTATTATGTAGCTAGGGCTGAAAACTACTGAAACGCACCCCTCAATTTTTTTGCATGGAGCTGCAAAGACCTTTGAGACAGATGTCATTCCATTCATGTATGCATTACTTCAGTACTTCAGGCATCCAGTTTAGTCATTCTTTTCATCCCATGCAATCAATTCAATATTCATTAAGCACCTACTTTGTATTTGTCACTGAATTAGGGGCAGAAGTGCTCTATTCAATCACCACTTGATAACTATGCAGATTTGTTCACTGTGTCTGGGCCTTCTGCCTCTCTGACTCTGTTCGAAAGAGAAGCAAGTTTTCTATCCTTTTCTCGCTCTTCTTTTCTTTCCCCTTGTTTGGTTTCAGCAAAGTGGAGCGAACAGAGGTTGGGGAAAAAAGACTAGGCGACTTTTACCGAGTACCTGCTCTGTAGTTAGCAAGGGTTAGCATTCCCCAGATGGAATCTCACGGACTGTTAAGGAGGCATTGTTAACTCCATTGTACAGATGAGGATACAGAGATTCAAAGTGTTTAAGTAACTTGTTCGAGGTCAAAAGCCACTTAGTTGCAAAGCTTGGATATAAACTGCAAAGTTCTTTCCCCGAAAACTTTCCGTTACAGTTTCCCTAAAACCAGAGGAGAATCAAATTCCGTCCCATTCAAACTGTTGTCTAAGCGTGTGTTTGGGGAGTATCTGGGAAGGTGGTTTCTTTGAAGTTGCTTCTTATATCTGAAAATTTATTTGAATTTTCATTTCATTGTTTGTAAGTTAATTAAAATATAAAAGTTGGTCCTGGCCAGTTTGGTTCAGCGGTTAGAGCGACGGCCTGCAGTCCAGAGAGACCCGGGTTCAGTTCCTGGTAGGGGCACATACCTTGGTTGCAGTTTGTCCCCAGCCCTGGTTGGTGGTACAGGTGGCAGCCACTCGATGTGTCCCTTTCACGTTGATGTTTCTTTCTCTCTCTCTCTTCCTTGCTCTCCCTCCCACTCTATCTGAACAAAAAATAAAAAGGTGTCCTCGGGTGAGGATAAAATATATATATATATAGATATATATATATATATCTATATATATATATATGGTATTTAATTTACTATTAGGAAAAATAACTTTATGCTTCTGCTTTAATGGATGCAACTGCCTTGAGTTTATCAAATTAAGAAAATTGTGCTCAAGGCAACCAACTCGACATTTAAGTCTCAGTGTCCAGATAATTTCTCTACTTTGCCTGGTAATCACTAAATTTCAAGAATTTGTACTAACCCAAATCTGGGGATACAAATTGCAATACTCTGTTTCACTGTGCTTCTGAGTCTCTGACAAGTCTTACTGAAAAGAGACCTCTGAAATGCTGTCTGTTAGCTCACTGGCCAGTCTCACTTAGTCATAGATGCTGATCTTTATTTTCCTCTAATGGTGTAATTTTCATGAGTCAAGAATCTCAAGTGACTCATATAGTCCCTATTATTAACTCTCTTCATCTAATTAAGACTTCATTCTCTGTGTAGTGATCATGTATGGATTTCAACCACTCTGTTTGCAGAACTTTGCACCCTTGTAATTATTTATTCAACTCTTGTAATTATCTGTTTAATTCGTGTAGTTTCTGTTGGTATAAGCGAATGTATCCCCCACACCGAATATTTTGCCTGGTACATGTTAGGCCTTTAGTATTTGCTGAATGATTGCAGTGTAGGACTTTCCCAAGTAATTTATCCCTAATCC